TGTGATTATTAAAAAAAGTTAATTTTAAGTATTATAAGTTTTTTATATGACATTATATCAAAATTAAATAATTAATTTTTGGGTTAATTAGTAAATTATATGTATTTTTTTACTTACCAGGCTGTTTACTTCTGGAATCAAAGCCAAATCTGAAGTTTCTGAAGCCGAATCTGAAGCTTCTAAAGCTGAATTTGAACCTTCTGAAGCTGAATTTAAAGAATCTAAAGCTAAATTTGAACCTTCTGAAGCCTTTAAATATTTAAAACATAATTTTAAATCATTAATTTAGTGTTTTGATTGGTGATCTAAAAGGTTAGCTTACCTATCGATTTTGTTTTCTTTCTTTGAATAAACTTGTAAAATAAAAAAACAAGTTAAAATTATGGCATACATTATTTGTTATAGGTTTCATATATACTGAATCTACAGAAGTATCTAAATTTCTACGTCTCTTTAACTATGAAAATAAAAATGAAATTCAATTATTGTGTTGATGCTTATGCAATTATTAATATAAAAAATACTTGCTGATAGAGGTTTCTCTGTAATAAGAACGTATGGATTTGGAAAATTCTTTAAATTGTTATCAATATTGTGAATATCCATAGTTTCGTGCTTTTTGCATGTTTAAAAATACTTGAATAATTGCTCTTCTGATTAGTAAAATTTAAACTAAATTTTTGATTTATTTACCCATCATTTCTTTCTTCATATTCATCATCGATATCTATAGTTCCGTATATTAAATTCTAGAACAATTTTTTTTACATAATTAAAACACTTGAATTAACACTAATTAATTTAAAATAAAAAATAAAAAATACATATTTATTTCCTCTTCGATATCTATAGTTTCTTGTATTAAATTCTTGAACAATTTTTTATATAATTAAAAATATTTTAATATTACTCTTATATTAGTAAATTCAAACTAAATTTTTGATTTATTTACTCTATCACTCTCCTGCTCAATATCTGGATCTTGGTTCTTTATGTAGAGAATTTTGTCGAAATTTGAGTTAATAAATAACCCACACTAATGTTATATTAACATAATAACTTACACTAATATTACACAAGGGCCTATTTTTTTGAAACCTCATTGAATATTGTTTCTTACATTTTGATTCATTTAAACTTTCAATTTCACTCTTTTTTAGAGAATCACT